TTGTCGTGGTATATATTGTCACCGGGTACACACCATATACGCGCCGACAGCTCACCTCACACTCACTCCTCCTTTCTTCCGAGTAACTTTATTAAATATCCTCTGCACATCCCCTCCCCCCAACCCACGACTCCACCGTCAGTGCGAAGATTTTTTCAATTTCACCCGCGTAATCTGGACTTTTCCTCGCTTTTTTTCTTTCGGCTGTCTGTGATCTCTCGGGAGAAAGGACTCGAAAAGGTACACACCTGCGCAAAGACGCGTTTTTTCACAACTAAACGTATATACACGCGTCGTTGTCCAATCCAACGAGGGGAAAAATCTCTCACAGATGTATATACAACACGCGCAGTAATTACATCTCCATCCTTGACCATCCATCACAACCAGCTGCAGCGTACTATATATGTATATGCGCTTGTTGACGAGAAGAGCTCACCACGGCTCCGTAAAACCTGTCAGTCCGCGGATAACAATTTTCGCAACATCTTTTGGCCCTTTTAGCACCTCCCTCCTCCCAGACCCTCCCAAGACGACGACCGAGAAGCAGAGTGCAAAACGAGGACTCTGGCGGGTGCTCCCGAGCGATTAATCAAGACAGTAGCCGTCCTCTTCTTCTTCTTTTATCCTACGACAAGAAAAAGTCCAAAGTCAGGGGTGGGTGGTAGGGGGCTCTGCAGAAAAGAAAAGCCCGCGGCTGCCGAGATGCGCCCCGACGGGGAAAAGGACGGATATGCTATGTATACCGCGAAACTGCTGTCAGGAGAGCGAACGCAGGAACTGCGACATTAATCACGATAATAGAATTTCTCGACTCTCCTCGGGGTTCATTGACTTAATCCTGTCCTCCTCTTCCCCCTTCTTCCTTTTTGCGAGCGGATCGATCGGTTTGCCGTATATATATATATATAGGGTTTACACGGGCTCAACTTTTTGACTGTACTTCCAAGCAGGTGGCACGTGTGTATACGTGTACATGTATACGTGTGAACGCGAACGCGATAAGTTGAGAGGAGGAGCTCGCCAGAAGGGGTCCTAACATTACATACATCACCTACGTTGCATCTCGCCGAGATTTACGGGCGATAACTCAATCGCCAACGGGGAACCTCCTCCGTCCGGGCAATTCGCTAATAGCCGATACTATAAATAAGCGGGAGCCCCGGCCACTTTGGCAGGGACCAATGGAGCCTCCTTCGAAGAATATCGCATCGATATCGAGATAAGGAGGTATACGTTATGTTAGCCACGGCTGGCCCCGACGCGGAAAGAGTTATGGGGGCGGGTGCGGGCACGAGGACCTCCGTATATGTACATATTACGTCATCGGAGCTGCTCAATCGCAATGAACCATCGATAGCGAGATTAGTTTTTCAATCGTCGGTAGTGACAAAACCAATGGTGTACACTCTGGCAGGGCGGTGTTTTTGGTCCCTTTGACGATTTAAACAATGGGCAATGGGTACAAAGTGCATATATAAAAAAGTGGAAAAGTCCGGAGAGAGGGAAATCCGATTAGTGCGGCTGCAATGCTGTAATGCGTGGGTGGGTTCATGCGTGTATTGGATTATATTTTGTATGTGGTCGTTTGGATGGTTACGTGGTGGAGAGAAAGAGAGAGAGACAGAGGTACGTTTTCGCAGAACACTTTGGTCTTAATCAGGGAAAAGCTGGAGCTGAAGTTGAAGTACGAGGATAAATAGACGGGTGGAGAAAACGAGGAAGGGGGTAGGCGTGCGTCGAATGAGAAGGAAACCCTCGAGTGTCGTCTCGAAGGACGAGCCCACTCGAAACGCTCCTCTGCTCGGCACGTTTGTACTACATACGCTGCGAACGATTGGCGACATCTGTTACCCAGCGCGATTTGCCCCCCCCCCCCCCCCGAGCTTCTCACGCGCTTCCTTCCTCTCTCCCTCCGTTCCTATTGTACTCGCTTTGTTTCCGTCGCTGCCACTACCTTATCTCGCGTATCACATTTTTTTTCTTTTTCTCTTTTTGCGACGATATGAAATTCAGGGAAACTTTGCTCGTATACGGGGTGGAAATGCTTCCCACAGTGGTTTCAAAACACCTTGTTCATGGTGGTCCAAGACAACGTGGATTACTCGATTTTTTTGTTCCAAAATGAAACATCGATCGAAGTATGTGGAGGGACAAAAAAAAAAGCTCAAAATCAGATACACCATCTGTATAGGAGCCAAAGTGTTTGCCGACCTAGGTTGGCGTTTAATTTCCCAAAAAAAAAGTGGCAACTCGAAATGCGAATCTCAAGGGGCGTCTGGTTGAGAGCGAAATTTCCTGGAAAGTTCCCCCGAAACGCGATGTAATCATCATTTGGAATTCGAAGTACCCGAGAGGAAATTTTCTCACACTCGGAAAATCCCAGCCGCCGGCAAAACGGCACGAGCGCCCGAGAACTTTATACCCTCCCCCTATCCATCCATCCATCCATCCATCCTTCAGCCCGTAATCTCTCTCCCCTAGCTAGTTCTTTCCCTACCTCGTCCAACTTCACGGCAAAGCCCCCGCTCGCGCTTCACAACTGCGTGTACCTTATTACTGCGTCTGACAAAACTCGGCTCTTTCTACTTCTGGCATGCGCCAGCCCTTGCAATCTCCGCCTCCTCGTTCCTCTTACACCCACCCACCCCTCCAAACTGTACTCCAACGTGAAACTTTCGCCGTCTGCCCCAACACCTTCCTGCAGTTCCACTTCATCCCCTGCCGTATGGAAAAGCGCGCACGTCCACGTATCCCCATGTCGCTTTGAATCGTAAACCCTTTTCATCCCCTTTTTATTGTACATCGCGAAAAAAGGGAGTTTGCGGACATCGATAAAACTATCAGGACAAGGTAAAAAAAAAAAAAAAAAAAAAAAAAAGGGAGGAATCCCGGGGTGCGAAACCAGTATCGATCCTGACGTCTTGACCCTTTCCATCGGGGCGAGGGTTTACTCGTGCACGCGCCGTCTCGACGGTAAAGATAAGATTATGGAGAGACAAGCGCTAATGGATTCATTTGAATTTGGATTTACGCGAGTCATTCGACCGCAGTACCTTTGCGCATGTGCGTTGTAGATTGTTATCGGGTCTTTTATATTTGCACGAAGCGTCTTTGTTGGGGGTTTGTTCCTTTTTGCATCGTGAAACGAGTAAATACGCGGACGCTCTCGTGCCGTAAACTTGCACGCCTAGATTATTACGTCTCTCGTGTATATTTTTGTTTGTTTCAACGTTGTCTTATTCCCGCGTACAATTTCTTTCCTTCCGGAGCAGAGCTCGATTTCGCGTTTGTATCATTTTCCTCGTCCCATAAAAAAGTGAATAAGAATAAGGGGGGGGGGGAGGAGGAGAAATCTTTTCCCTCGCAATGAAAAACAAAAAAGCCAAATGAGGTAGTGCCGCTACACAAAATGTAAAAAGAGGGCGGGGGTCATAAAAAGGTAAAGAGCGTTTGATGCCACGTTACACGTTCAATCATTTTCTTGTTTCCGTCTTACGTCCGACGCTACTTTCCGAGCAAATAAAGCTCGACCGCGTTTTTTCCCATTAAATATTTTAATCCAACGCTGCGTTTTTATCGCTCTGCACCCTCGACCGCAAGTTATATTGCCCGCGACCTCCCCCCTAACGCGTATAAGATTAGAGACTGGCGTTTAATTTTTTTTTTTTCCCACCCCCTACGCCCCTCTTCCTGGGCTACTTACGCGGTCGAGGTGGCGCTTTTTCTTCCCCCTTCTTTCGTGACGACAATCATTTTTTTTCCCTTTAAAACGTATCAAGCCCGTTGCAAACGTGTATACTTACGATGCCTGCTGCAATTTATCGACGTCGTAAATATGCGCGTGCGTAAACTCATCATATTTTTTCTGTGTGTGTGTAGGAGGCAGGCAGGCTGTATTTTGTGTGCAAAACAATAACAACAATGATGATGATAATTACACACGTGTGCAACGAGGGACTCGCGTGCGCCGGGCTTTTAAAGATAGAGGTGAGAAATCGCCCCTCTGACCCCCTTGCAACAATCAGGATCGTCGCTCGCTGAACGCCAACGTATTTTTAATTGTTTTACATACAACGGCCGCGAAAGGCGATTTTCATCTTACGAATAGCCTTCGCGGAGGGGGAATAACGAAGGGCAACTATTTTACGATGATTAAACTTTCGTTTGAAAAGTTTTTACCATTTTATTTTTTCTTTTCTCTTTCCCCCAATCCTTTCTTTTGCACACGAGTTTTGTAAAGTCGACCTACTTCGAGGGGCAATATCGTGTGAGTCGATATCGACGGGTCCCCACTGAAATACGGACCGGTGCTTTTATGAAAATAGAAAATCGAAGGCAGTTCGCCGTGGAAGCGTTTTCCAGGATGGCAACAGATACATGTATGATTTCCCCTCTGCTTTTGATTCTTGAATGCAATCGAGAGATTCTCTCTTTACCTCGGAAAATATACGCGTGTCGTAAAAATATCAGAGGGACATTATATACAGCATACCATGTGAAATTGAAAACATGTGCTTTTTGTGTCCGTGTGTGTAAACGAAATTATTTTAGTAAAATGCGAGGTCGAAGAGGGGCTTTTTATGAATTGAGTTTGGTGTTGCTTTAAAGCACTTTACATCCAATTAAACCACATGATCTCGCAAAAGAGAGTACATGAGTGCTGCGGGATAATAGAGGGAGCCGCGGTGTTTTCAGCGGTTTATGGTCGAGGTCACCCACAAAACATTAAGGTGACAATAAGACATCTACACGACATCATTGAACTGTCAGCTGATATCTACCGAAGTTATCAAAACTACATCGGCAAGATGTCAAATTGACGCCAAAGCATTGTCGATAAGACATCGTATTGTTATCAGTTGTCAGCAAACAAACATCAGCTAATGACAACTAATTGATAACGTTTAGACGTCTGCTGTTGTCATACCGTAAATGTTTTTGATCTCTTATGGATGTCTTTTGAGCAAGAATTAAGGATGTCTTTTAGAAATCTGTGGTGCTAAATTCAATGATATCTTACAGATATCTGCTGTGTAAATTAAATGATATCTTGAGGGTATCGTTTAAATAGTATTAAATAATATAATAGTAGCATTTACGCAACTCAAAGAACCACAGATACCTTTAAATTGAACAAATTTATAATTCATTTGAATAATGGCCTTTAAATTATAAATTAATCAATCAATTCATTCAATTCAAAGGTATCTATAGTTCTTTGAATTGCACGATGCCTTCATTATAATAGATATTTTTAAAAGTGTATTTTTTACAATTGTTTTTTTACGATAACAAAATACTTTATACTTATGTCATACTTAAGAATCACTGGTTTAAGCACAATTAGAAAATTAATCACAATATAGGCTGTTGATTGACTCCTCTCTTTTTTTTCTGCCTGTCAGATGGTGTACGCAACCAATCTTTAATGCGTTCTTGTACATCTGTTACAGTAGATGCAATTTTTTTTCGTGTAGCACCTATAAAAATGTTATCGATTAATAAATTTTAAAAAATACATAAGTTTTCAGAATCAAAATACATACTTATGATTATCGATGAAAAATGAAGATCCTTTACAGCAAGAGTTCCATGAAAACTGTACCAAAAGTTAGTTGACGACACAGTTTATGTTATAATGGTAGGTATAATCTTATTTATAGTATTAGATAAACTTATTCCTCCCAGGCTTAAAATTTTTTTTTCCTAAAGAAAAATATTCAATGTTTTTTAGTTATAAATGCTTAAACTAGAACTAGAAAATTTGTAAACAAACCAAATACTTACAAATTGAGATGACAAATTTTGATTTAATAGAAGGTCTTTATCAAAATTTACTAATTCCACTTTTGAGTTGAAAGAAGAAGAGCCAGAGAGCACAAAAATTAATAAAAGATTAAGTGTATAGATTTTATTGAAACAAATAACACAACCTTTTGATGATGCCTCTGACGAAGAGAGCTGGACAAAAAGCGAACGGGATCCGATGTGGCCTGCTTGACAGCTGATGCAAGAAAGAAGGAGGTTATAATCCACATATGAGAACCGTGCGCCCCTTATATATATACCGCAACCAATCGCACCGGCTTTATCATAATGATGTCTGAATAAGATAAAAATATTGATATCATTTTTACTTATCGTAAGTTATCGTAATGTTATCATTTTCTGCATTAAATATGGTAACTCAAAAATTGTTTTTTCGATAACATTTTGACAACACTTAAAAATGACATCGGTCAAAAAATATAACTCTAAGTTGTCTTTGAAAGTTATCACATGGACGTCTTTTATAAGACAACTATAAGGCATCTTTTCTTTCGATAACGTGGACATAACTTTAAAAATAATTTTTTCGATAACATTTTGACAACGCTTCAAAATGATACCAGTAAAAAAGATAACACTTAGTTGTCTTCTAAAGTTATCGCGTAGACGTCTATAAAAGACAACCATAAGACATCATTTTTCGATAACTGTTCTCTATATAACTAATTGATATCTTTTAGATAACTATAGATGTTATCAACAAAATAGACAGTGTCGGTTGTCACCTCAATGTTTTGTGGGCAAGAACAGACAATGGGGCAAAAAGCTGAGTGACGCGAGCGCTGGCACTTGGCATTTCAGACAAAGAGACGTGGGGCCACGTGACATGTAACGCACATCACGTGTGAAGCGTTTTTACGCACGAGAGCCTTGAGATGTTGAACAACATTTTTCGATAAAACCCAGAGAGAATTTTTCGATACTCGAATTTTTAAGGGAAAAGGAGGAGAGTTGACGAGGAAAAAAAAAAAACCCTGCTTTTCAAGGTAATATCATTTCTGGGTGGCGTAACAATATAATCGTTTTCAAAGGCATTTCCAATACCCCAAACCTCGAGTTGTCCCCACCCCGCATAGGCATAGGAAAAACAAAGTAGGTAAGCCAAAAGTAACCGCAGGTCGTCGTCGCGAAATATACCATTGGCCCCCCTATGTTTTCGGTGTGTAGGCGGAGCAAAAGAGACAACAGCCAAAAAAAAAAGGAAACAAGAGCGAGACTGCCGAGAATGTGCATGCATATATGTATAGGAAATAGAAAAGACGACGATGGGATACCATGTAGACACGAAGGGCGCATTTTCTCAGTTGGATACATGTGGTACGGAGGGGGCAAGTACTTGACGACGTGACTTGGAAGGGCGCCAGCCCGGGTATCGTATTTATTTATTTTAATTTGCAAAGTGGACGGCAATCTTACCAGATTGCGCTTATTCCGCCAGAACGAGGGACTGACTCCCAAACACCGCAACTACATTCGCTGGAGGAGCTATATCAGTCGTACCACCACCACTGCTCCACTAGACTATATATACTGTCGAGCTAATATACCGAACGCTCGTCGATGGGAAATTCCATTTGGCCCGGGGTCTCTGAATTATTATTACTTTTTTTTTTTTTTTTTTTTTTTTTTTTGCTTATTTTTACCAGAGTTTGTTTTTTCCTGCACACTCGGACGATTTGTGGCCCCTCGCTGGCCACGGATCGCGCGAAGCGGACAAAACAACGAGTTCGTACACACGCTGTATCGCTCGCGTCAAAAGTCAAGAAATAAAGTGGCGTACCTGCTCGTAAACGCGTGAAACGCAGAGAAATCGCTGGGGCATGAAACCGCTAGCTCAAACACCGGCAAACTTAACGCGTGTAGGAAAGAAAAATCGTTTATATGTACCTCACACTTGTAACAATAAGAGGAGCTTGCGCTTGCAAAATAATTACACGGGGATGATTCGTTTGTTGTCTGCTGTAGGTATGTAAGGCGCATTTTTATAGGCGTGTAAACACCCGAATCTTTCGTCTAGGGTAAAATTTTAACAAATACGCTGGTTGGTATGAAAAAAAAAAATAACAACAACCTGTAATGCAATTACCGCGATTTAATTACATATATGCTTTCGGAAGACCAACGAATCCACCGTACGGGCAAAAGTTGGCGTTTACCAGAGAGAGAGAGAGAGAGAGAGAGAGAGAGAGAGAGAGAGAGAGATAGCTTGTAAAGCGCAACTTGGGCCTTATTACACTTCGGAGAGGAAGTTTCTGCTGTATAGTTGTGCCGGTGTAAAAGCCAGAATTCAAAATTACTCGCAGTGGAAGTTGGCCACGAGGAGGCCAAGGCTTGCAAAAGGGGGGGAGGGCTTTTGAATTTTAAATGACGTATATTTTACGAGCCTACTGCAGCACCGTCCTGCATGACAATCATAATCACGATAAAAACGAAAGCTGAATACATTCGGACGAGGTGTTGTTTCACAATATTAAACACACGTGATGTTTACGACACGACAAACTGGAGTCCAAAACAATTTAACTTTGACGAAATACGAGGATGATGTTAAGGACGAGAAGTCCAATTGGCAAAGAGAGAGAGAGACAGGTGTGGCACCGTCATAGGTTATATATATATATGTAACGCGACAATAGAGGAAGAGGCGAGCAAGAAAGCGCGCGTGTACAAAGGCGTCCCTGCCCGGGAAAAAATTCTCTCGCCGAGTATAGGTACGGCAGTCGGCATTTCGAGTATTTGCAATTAGCCTTGCGCGTCTCCCTTTCCCTATCGCTTCCCCTTTCGCGCCATACAAGTACATATACACGGATCGCGGAGGTAGGGCAGACCCCTCTCGCCCACTGGATTTAATGGCTTGTGCGTATGACGAAGCGGCTGCCCTACTCCTCCTCCCCCCCCTCCCGCACCTCTTTAATTATCCATTTAACTTTGTTGCCCGTAAATGGTAAAATATCGCGCGAGCGCCCCCAGTAACTCTTTAGGGGCGCGCGAGCTACGGTACACGTATAGTTATAACGTATAACCCGTGCAACTAAAGATTCCCGGATAATTGAGAAAAATTTACGAATACCCGGGCTGATGTTCGCCTTCTCGCGCATTTCGAGCACAACCGGATGAAAATAGAGCAATTAATTGCGGTATTTTCGCTTTGCTGAATTGTACGGCTCGCCGTACGGAGCAAAAATATAAAAAGTACCCTTAGTACCAGTCAATTAATTTTGACGCTCGGCAGAAGCTACGGGCTTTGGAGGGTCGAGCAGTGTGAGTGTACCTACTCGTTGGTGTTTTTTTTTTTTTTTTTTTTTTTTTAATCCCTCGTTTCTTCTTTACGGAGACTGTGTAATATAGACTGTAAATTGAATATTTAAATAATTGCTTCATTCCGCCGAGTGAGCTGCGCGTTGTAGGATTTTTCAGCCGTGACGGAGGTTTTATTTTACGTGGTGTAAGAACAAGTATACGAGCCGGCCTCAATTTTCCACCAAGTCGCCGGAAACTGCATTCGGTGTGTGTGTGTGTGTGTGGTGAAAATTAAAGAAACCCCGATTCGAGATCGGTTCGAGTTAAAATAATTATTTTAATTATTCCCGGCAACAGTGTACGTATCCATGGATTGTTGCGGTGATACGAGTTTGATGCACGCGAGAGAATATCTTTATTTATTATTATTATTATTTTTTTTTTTTTCGTAACTAAAAATGAAGTAGTAGATGTTAATAAAACGTATCATTAGAATAAATGAATGAGAGAAGAAAAAAAGAAAAAAAACACAATGTGCAGCACAGAGATGGAGATGAACATCGGATTAAGATTCCGCGAATTGCCCATTAGAGTATAATATAGTGTTATTTGTATACGCCGTGTATACTGTACGTATCTTTTAAAGATCGTCACGGTGCGGACACGAGGTTTTCCCCTAATAGTGTTTAACGCGCAGCGATCAGATTTCTTTCTTTATTTCCTTTTTTTTTTTTTTTTTTTTTTTGCCAGTTTTTAACCAATTAGACAAACAGTAGCGGAGCTTTCTACTACTGCATATAAAAAGCAATTTCCCTCCTTGGGTGCATACGTTTTAATACATATTTTACATTCACTCGATGAAAAACAAACGCATAAAATGCTCTCGCGGAGACAACAATACGTGTATATATATATATGATACAGGTACTCGCACAGTCCCCCCGAAGCGAGAGAATAAAGGCGCGCCTGAATAATTCATCCTCCCATTAACGCGAAAACAACACCCTACCCCCATCCTCCTATTTCTGCAAAAGCCGACTTTTGCGTCGACAAAGTGTAAAGCCATATAATAACATCGAGCACCAGCGCAACGCAATTTTCGCTGGCCGAAGAAGGAGCTGCTAGGGGGGGAAAAGCTCGCTTCGGAAACTTGCGAGAGAAGACGATGCGGACGCAATGAAAAAAAAAAAAAAAAGGGAGAGACAAGATAAACAGTGAAAAACAAGAGAATGAGCTGAGCTGGTGTGCACCTGTCTTCTTTTCCAAAGAAGAAGTAGTATCCAAGGCAAGAGGAGTTACTACCAACACGCGTACGTTATACACGAAGGAGAGAAGAAGTAAGGCGTAACAGGCCCCAAGTGGAGAGGAAGCGAACTGTCGGCTGCGGCGAGGACGTCAGAGACGATGGAAACTTTAATTGGATTCGAAACGGCGATGGGTATAGTTGCATGGTTTGTGTGTACGTACATACAGTGCAGGGGACTCGGGGTTACAAGGAAGCGGAGACGGCGGCTGACGAGGTCGCGACGAAAGGACTCGCGGTCGAGCAATTTTCGGGGAGGAAAGAAACGAGCGACGCCGAGATTGAACCGCGATGATTTTTGTGGACGCTTTTCTTTTTTGTTTTGTTGGTGACCTCTTTTATGTGTAAAGAGTTTGTCAAGCTCCGATGGGTGTACGATACATATATACCTTCGGGATGGAGTTTCGAAAAAACGCTGGACGAGCTTGTCCTTGATTGAAATTCAAATTAAACTGCACAGCCTCACCACCGAAGGGTTTTCGAATCGGTGAGGAAAAAAGAAAAGAAAAAAAAATTGGAATCGAGTTTCAAATTCCCTCGCGACTTTCTTTCGGTGTAAGAAAGAGATTTCCCGTGCAGATGCGGAAATCGAGTTTGCACGAGTAACAAGATTATTCGTAAGTATTACCAAAGTTAAATTTGTTCATCAAATGGTTATTGGGCATATCTGCACACGGAAATGAAACAACAAACTTTTGAAAACACGCGTACAGAGGTATATAATTATCATGGAAGGCATATACGTGAATCGAAACAAGGTCAAGCGGTAGAGAAGCCATGAAAGCGTTGGAAAACAATGGAAGCGCGTGTGTGCGATAGAGGATTGACCGT